AAGCTGGCCCAATAGACTAGCGTGCCAAATCCAGTCAAAGGCCTTGCGAAACATCGAGAGAAAGAGCAAGTGCTTCACCACTGTTCTCGAGGATTTTGCCCCATATTGTGTGTATGTGGCATACGCTAGAAGGTCCCCAGTTGATCGATTTCGGCAAAACCCGTACTGGCGATGACTGAGGAGATCATTTTGTTCTGGGTATGCCGTGAGGTGTGCGTTCAATATACGCTCCATAATCTTGCAGAGTATGAAGGTAATTTAGATTGACCGATAGTTGGCAGGGTCGGTACGGCTACGTTTTTAGGCACAGGCTGCACATTGGCCAGCTTCCAAGATTTGGAAACTATTCCAATCCTAAATGAGAGGCGGAAAAAGTGTGTCAACACAGGAGACAACTCAGGTGCACAGACTTTTAGAACTATAGCTGATATACCATCAGGTCCACTAGCTTTGTTCACGTCTAGACTTCGCAAGGTTTTAAAAAACCTCCTTGTTGGTGATACAGACCTCTGATATAGAGCTACCGCAGTGAGATTATTGAGATGGTACGCTGTTGCTACTGTTTAGACGCGAATTGCAAGCAAAAATAGAAACAAATATGTCCGATTTCTCCTCAGGCGAATGCGCCAGTGAGCCATCTGGTTTTACTAGCGGAGGCAGTGTAGACTGACAGAAGTTTGTGTCAACCGCTTTGGTGAGAGACCAAAAAGCTCTACTGCCAGATGGTTTCATAGAGAGCTTTGTACCGATGCGTTTAATGTGGTTGAAACTGGCTTGGCCTAATGCCTTTTGCAGGACTTGGCGGCTTGGTTAAAGGCTCTCTCTATATTAGAGAATCCGTGGCTGATAATAAGATATTTGAATGAGGTGATCGCTACCATGATCTTTCTAATGTTTAATTTTATTATTTTATAATTACTTTTTTCTTCTCAGTTTCTTTTCGGGGTCTCATCATAAATATATAATAGATAGACTTAAAAATGAGGATATCCGCAGTAGAATCACAGTAACCGACATAGCTCAACAGTTTAGTAAATTAAAGTAGCAATAGGCCGGCCATATGGCTCCAAGAACCAACAACCGATGGGGAAGAAAGGTTCCCGATTGGCAGCCTCGTACCGGTAGACGAAGTGTAAGGCGTCCCTCTACTAGATGGAATGATGACTTGATAAGACATGCAGGCAGTCGATGGATTCAGGTGGCTCAGGACTGTACATTGTGGCATTCCTTGTGGGAGACCTTTGTTCAGCAGTGGACTTGTGTTGAATGATGATGATAATAAAAAGTATTAGATTTTATTCTATTATAATCTAATTTATGCCACTTTTCTATATATATATACTCCGCTTCCCTCGGCCCCACTCCATTCCGCTCCAGTCTACTCCACTCTGCAACATTCCACTCCACTCCACTCCGCTCCATTCCACTCTACTCCACTGCAATCCGCTCCGCTCCACGTTTACCAGTTTATTATTTCTTGTTTATCATTTTTATTATATGCCACCTTTTGCAGGTAGATTAGCAATCAGTGCAATACGTGTCATTTTTTAAGTCTTATCTTTTAAGTCGGTCGTTGATGCCAGTTTGGGTACCTACTTTAAACCTTCATTCATTCATTATAGTCTATCAAAAGTCTACTTCTAAACATTGTCTCCCTCGTGGATAGCTTCTCTGGTGGGAATATTTGACAAAGTTGTCACGCTTAGCAAACAGTTTGGCAACTGCAGTTTTTATTACTCGTATATAAAATTTTAAAAATTTATATATTATGATATGGAATTAAGCAACCAGCTACACCTACATTTAGCCACGAATAAATTGTATTGAGTTAAGCTTTACCAAGTAGTGTGTAGTTTTAGTTAATGTTTATCCCATCAATACATAAAATGTGAAAAGGGGGCCAAGATCAGATCCCAACTTTTTATCGGAGAAGCAGACAACCCTGAACGTCGTTTGTACCGAACTTGGCCTCCTTATCACGTTTATGTTTTGGTGGGATATAATTAATTTAAAATTTTGTTAATCCTAGTAAAAGCAATAAAACAGTTTTATCAGAGAAGACAACATGCTAGCCACTGAATTTACGTTAATATTAGAAGGTATAAAAATACAAACACTGAGTTTCAATCATTTGAATTTAATTTAAACTTAAATTCAAAAGAATCGAGTAAGGTCTGTCAGTGTTGGATGCTTATTTTAATAAAATCTATTTAAAGTCGAGGCTGTTTGAGTTATCAGTATTTATGTCTGGTAAAAAATTATTAAAACGCGGAATGGTTTTCTACTTAACTTAAGGTAAAAACTGAAAGAGGTAGTTTTTACTTAAAGTTCTCTTTGATAAAAAAAGTAAAAGAGGTAGTTACTTAAAGTTCTTTTTGTGAAAATTTATTTAAAAAAATATTTGAGCAATATTTTAAATGTTAATACAATAACAATTTGTTTGTAAGACAGAATATTTTTTATATATAAATAAGGGTGACTACGGGCACACAGACATCGCGATGGTAAGTCGATGCTTTAGCAGAAGTATCCTCGACTAAATATCAAAATGCAGTTGCGTTTTTATTCTGAGGACTTAGATTAAATATCCCGTTACCAGTTTAAAAGATCTTGGTTATCGTCTCTCGGAACAAGGAACCAATACGTTACTATTTTACTATTCTGTGATGCGGTCAAGCCAACCCATTGCCATCACTTTAACAATTCCCTACTGCCAGAGACCTTGTGAGGAGAAGCGACAAGATACTCTCAAGTAGAAGAACTTTTACTCCAAAATTACTCAAACGATGTAAATAATTCTGTCTAGCTCGTTGATGGATTTTTCCAGTATGTGCCGATTGGCCTAATACTATGGAATATTTAACAAACTCGGCACGTCTAACAGACAGAATAGTGAGTGCAGAACCGATAACCTCCTACTGATAATGCTACTCCACATCAAGTATAAGTATTATAGCTTGGCCTCTTTTAAAATTCAATGCAAGTGTGAATAGGCTTTTTTAAGCTAAGTCAGTGCATTTTAGGATAGTAGTTAAGCACCGGCTTAAAATAGTAGTTATTTTCTGTTAAACTACAGCACTGTAATTATGATTCGTGGAATGATGGTGAGAACTCACACAAATATACCTACGAGTAGGTTATTAAATAATGAAAATGATTATTTTTTCTTATTTTTCAGATTAGTAAGCTGAAGTGCCAATGGACCGGCCATATAGCTTGTAGAACCGACATCCGATGGGGATGAAAGGTTCTCGAGGTGTTCGCCTCATGCCGGTAGGCGAAGTGTAAGTCGGCCTTCCACTAGATGGAGTGACGACCTGGTAAGACATGCGAGAAGTCGGCGGATGCAGCAGGCTCAGGACAGTCTTCCGTGGCATTACTTGGGGGAAGCCTATTTTCAGCAGTGGACTTTTGAAGGCTGTCATGATGATGTTGACGAATAAACGATAATTTTTTATTGTTACCTCTGTTTGTATATTTTCATTTCGTATATCATTTTTTATTATAATAACCATCTCATAAATGAGACCTGTGCCCAGTAATGGTGCATATATAGGCTGTAAACTTACTTAATATTCACTAACTAATCATTAATTCCACTGCTAAACATAGTACTCCTTCCTTCATATCTTGAGCTAGAAGATACAGTTGCCCATGCCCTGTTTCAGTTTCTGACTGTCGCCTATATGGTACCTCATAGGTATCATAGAAAAGTGAAATATGGAAGAAAGATTTCAAATGAGGTAGTGGATTATTTTAAGACGCTACTAAGTTGCGATTACTTATCTATAAATAATATTAATCCATGAGAGCCATGCCATGCCATTATAGGCTATATTATACCGAAAAAATTAAAGTATTTTTTTAAATACGAATAATTAATAAAATAAGTGGTATATTATTACTTATCTTAAGTAACGTGAAATCAATACGAGTAGATAATATCCAGGAGAATCCGTGGTACGTCGCTAGTTTAAAATAAAAGTTTATTCCGTAAGTATTTTTAGAAGCAGATGGCTCAAAACCACAAGTTGACTAGTGCAGGTCTGTAATGATAACTATGACGGTGTTTATTATAACACTTAGTTGGAATTAAAAAAAAATAAAAGCTGACTATAAAAATTAAAAAACAAAATTCCGTATAATAGCTTCAGAAGCCGTTGTTAATACATGCACGACTTCTGAAGCTATTATACGGAAATTATTTTATTCTTTTTAGTTATTTGAAGTTACCTTTTATTATATAAAATGTCTAATTTTTGAGCCTACTGGGTGGAGTAAGAAATATCGAAAGCTCCAATGTCGTCTCAATATTAACATTAAATGAAGACGTTGAATGGAATTTTTTACCTAAATGAATATGGGAACACTATTAAAGTATAACCTATTTAGATAAAGGAAGGAAAATAAACAATGGGCCACAATTGACGAAGATATCGATTGACATACAAAAAAAGAACGTACCATCGAAATAAGATTTTTCCTCCATTTACAAGTGGGATAAAAATAGCAACAATACCATGGGCTGAAATAGAAATATGTATTATAATCCTAAATATTTAACATTTAATCGTATAAGTTTTAATCTATTAATTTTATGTACATGTGCAAAAAATATACCGTAGTACAACTATGGAAAATTAACGTATTCTTTATAAGAAAAATGGTTACACTGGGGTTTTTCCTTGGATCGGGGAGGCAGTTTACATGCCAAATTGCACAAGAACAACATCGCGACCCGAAGTAATTATTTGGAAACCATACAAATACTTGTTATTTCCGTGTTTCGAACCTACGGCTCAATCCCTAAATGCTAAACCACTGCGCCACGGAACCGTAATAATGGATCAAAGTGAATTAGAATGCATGATTTATTGTTATTTTTGTTGTTATCAGTATTCTTAGACATTATATATAAGCGGTGACTTGTACAGTAGTGTTCAATAATTCATAACCAGCGTTTGAGTACAGAGTGATATTGCATCTAAAACTTATTTAAAATGATTGAATCTATAAAACCGGGTTTTGTTCAATTAAGTGAACTTGGAAGTACTAGTGTAAGTTGTATTTTTTATTCGAAAATTTGTTATTTATATTGAAAACTATATTTTTTAGTTATGTGATGAACTGCTTGAACATGAGGTCCTATCTGATTTATGCACGCAGCTTTGATGAGCCCTTCCACTATAGCCTTTGAATCGTAGGGTTCATCAAGAACCAAACTTGCAAATTATTTTTGTCTTTAATTTTATTTAATTTGTCTTAGTCCGTTATTACATCCTCTATTTGATTTTTATTACATAAGAAACAGCTATCCTAAATATGCCTACGTCTAGCAGCCAATATAGTTACAGCATGCTGAGAAATAATGAACGCCTTAGTATTTTCGCATACACTTATGAAGCTATACTATATCTTAATGGCTACTGCTGATCTTAAATAAAATGTTTAAAATCAGCCCTAAAAATTAAACTTATTAGCATCGCAAAGTTTTAATTATAATAAAATTTTATTTATAGGCTGGTGGTAAAGTACTATTTGCCACTGATGATTTTTTCGCTGCTTGTGAGAACATGATATCTGATACCGATCCCATCTTTATTGCTGACAAATATACAGAATTTGGAAAATGGATGGATGGCTGGGAGACTAGAAGGAAACGCGTTGCGGGTCATGATTGGTGTATATTAAAACTTGCAACAAAATGTGTCATCAGAGGTATGCAATGTACTTTAATATTTTAAGGTTTTAAAGAGTAAATTATAAATATCTACCTATAAAGTATTACTTTTTATAATCTGTTTACACGTTAATCTAACAACACATTTTTTTTTATAAATTTGTTTCTCTTATAAAGTTTTTCAAGAACTTTGTCATTCATTATAGGTTTTCTAGTTGACACAGCGTTCTTCACTGGAAATTACGCGCCTAAATATTCCATACAAGCAGCTTGTTTATCTTCTGAAGGTCAGTATCTGCAGGTACCAAAAGAAATATTAATTTATTGCACATTCATATATCACAGGTATAATTTTTTTATAACTTAAAGCGTCAATTTTTAAAATAAATAATATTATTTTAAGATGAAGTATCAATGCCAGAAAGAATTGAATGTATTGGATCTGCCTGCAGTGAATGTGATTTGAAACAAATTAAAAAACTAAAATCAGATAAATGGGAAGAAATAGTACCAATCACTGCACTACAGCCCGGATACGAAGAAACTCGACACAACTTCCAAAAGGTTAGTTAGTGAAATTTAATAACCACTAATAATTTTAATGATAAGTTATAAATGATAAATATGAACATATTTACATTTAATTAATAAAATATTTATTTGAAAGTTTATTATTAATTTGAAGAGATTAATTTTCGCATTATAATTTCATAGGTATTAAGTGATGAAGCTTGGACTCATATACGTGTTAATATTTTTCCTGATGGAGGAATAGCAAGGTTAAGGGTTTTTGGTGAAGCTAAACCAGAAACACCAGCTTACAATGAAATAGTAGACTTAGTGTCTGTGGTAAACGGCGGTTATTGCGTGGGTAAGATACTTTTTGGTCAGACAAATTAATACTTATAGTAAAAATTGTCGTTGTACATTTATTGTCAATAGTTTTTATTTTATTATATAATTTATCAATTTTAGGATTCTCAAATGCACATTACGGACATCCCAGTAATATGATTAAGCCAGGAAAAAGTAAAATAATGGCAGACGGATGGGAGACGGCCAGAAGATTAGACAGGCCTACTGTTATTGAAGTTAACGCTGATGGTACTTTAAACGTTCAAGGTTGGTTTGGTCAACTGTTATTTTTTTACATTTTTAATTTTTATAAAACTTAATCATACACAGTCCCTAAAATTTATCTTTTAATGATACATTTTTATATACCACAAGTATGATAATGCATGTAATTTAAATATAAAATTATATATTTAATCCATCAGGTGAGGAGTGGGCTGTATTTAAGCTGGGATTCATTGGTAGAATAAAAAAGGTCTGCATCGACACAACTCAATTCAAAGGAAATTTTCCCGATACTGTTAAAATAGAAGGTGTTTACTTGGGAAACGCTAGCTGGCCAGAATCGAAAGATGCCCTTTGGCGTTTAATAATAAAACCAAGCAAGGTGAGAAGAATATAAAAATGTTAAAATTACGAAAACATATACACATAAAACTACATCTCCCTACTCTACCCATTTTTACCGCCAAATATTAGTGCTTACACTACTGCGTTTCGACCTGAAAGGTACAGAAAGACATTTCAATTACAGACTGCGAGATATTCCATCTTACCCCTCAGAGATGACAACGCATCTATATTTCTTTTGAAGTTGGCTGCAGGTGTCCGTATACTACAGTAGCCAATTACTATCGTGTTATCACATCAGTTTTATAAGATAAAAAAATATTGCACGACTCTAATCATTAACATACTCAATTACTATTTTCAGCTAACAGCAAACAAAGAGCATTGGTACAGCTGCGATTCAGATGTCACGTCTCATATAAAAGTGACAATGGCTCCTGATGGTGGGATAAGTAGAATTAGAATATTTGGAGTAGTAGATTCAATAATAAATTAAATATAGCGACAAAAAAACGTTAAAGAAAACATATTATGGCGATTCAAAATATGCTTCATGCTTAAATATTAATTTAATATTAGAAGTAGGTAGTTAATACTAATACGAGTATATTATAATAGTTATTATCAAAATAAATTAATACACTGCCTTACATATTTTTAATGTAAAATTGTAAATATATATTACAAATACTATGTAAATACCATGTATTTTAGATTTAAATGTACAAAAGTATTATTACTAATAAAATTTTGCTATTCAACCGTTGTGTTATTTAAACTATCAATTTGTTTTAAATTGGAACACATTTATTAATTAAATATAAAAAATAAGGTAATATTATCCTATGAACTGGAAGCTCCTCAACACTTTACATAGATTATACAGTGTAAATACGAGACCTATTCGAGACCGTATCAGTATAGAATTTCAATGAAAGAAGCATATGTTAGCCCAACCATAGAGGCCGATTTATTTTACTTTATCTTCTTAATCAGCCCATAAAAGCAAACATTTTCACATTTATGTGCCTGATGAAAAATAAGAAGAGCAACTGCAAGCGGGATTGATATGGCTGATGGAATTGAGGAACACTGCTGTGCTTCTTTTGTATTGTCACGTTTAGTATATATGTTTATTTAAAATATACATACTAAGCGTGACGATAAAAGCATATAAATATTTAAAAGCAAAAAAAAACATATCCAGATTGCTAAGCAAAATCCTATAAGTAACCAAATACAGTAATTATAGTAGTAACCAAATACAGTGTTATGTAAGAGAGTTACATTCACAATACAGCTTGTACACTCCTTCATCTTGTAGAGGGATATGACACTTGACGTTTGGTAAAAATTTACTAATCTTCTTCGGTGGCTGAAGTATGTTTTAATGGAAACTCGCTTTAAGATGTTTTAGCATTTTTAGATCACCTTAATTCCATAATCTCTAAAATACGATTCACAATGAAGTTAGAGGCAAACAATTCTTTAACTTGCCTTTTTGTAAGCCGTAAAAAGGGATATTTATTAAGCATTACTATAAACCTTATCATCATTTCAAGCATTTTTAAACTTAATCACCATTTTATGATCTTTTTATGAATTCAGCTTTTGCTGCCATACACTAAGGAACCACCGAACACTGCAGATAAGTGTTCATTATATAATATTCCATACCATTCATCATAATTTCAAGTTTTGTTTAGACGAAATATTATCTTTATTGGGTACATTGTTTGGTTTTTATCGCAAAGCCTCGAGATGATGTGGTTTATTCTGCACAAGCTTTGATTCATCGTCATCATCGTTCTCGTTAGTATGTCACAGTTTTTTGTTAAGTTTTTTGCCGATTCTTCCTAGGACGGAAGTTTTTTCTTTTCATATGGTAAAGCATAAATGACTTTCAATAAGTATTCTCGATATTAAATAAAAATCATTCTATAATATTTTATTCTATTTTTTTTTTGGTTGAACTTGAGATTTCAGACACGTACGCCTTCGTACCATAAAGGGATACATTTAAGGGAAAAAGGTGGAAAGTACCTTATTATATAGCGTTATTTTTTTTTCTAGAATAAACTTAAGTTATTTATTGGCTGGTTATATATTAAGTATTTCTGATATTTGTATGGGGTTAGATGAATATGAATAAATTATATATAAAAATCTAGTTTTGATCAATGCATTTGATCAATAATTCATTTCTATATGCTTGCAAAATGGTGTCATGACGCCGGAATGGTTCTGAACTCCTCTAAAACCAAGCTGTTACACATAAAGTCTCCTTATATCAAGTGTACTTTATCCAAGCACATTGTTGCTCACGATCATAATTGCCTTCACTCGTCTTGTAAAAACACTTGCAGTTGCCCCTCTATAGATCTCGTCAATACCCATACATATCTTGGAATGCAGATCGATAGTAAGTTTACTTGGCATAACCACATCGAGTGTGTTTGTAACAAGTTAAGACAATTCTTAGCTAATATTATAATACTGAAGAACAGAATTCCGTTCCCAGTTAAGATGATGTTATATAACTCTCTGGCAGAATCTTATATACAGTATGGTTTAGGTAGCTATGGTCGTACATTTAATACTTATTTAAACAAAATATATAACCTCCAGATAAGAATCCTTAAAAACATTGTAACAGACAAGATTCGACGTCAATTTCATGATGACGATAGTATGCTCTTTAAGCACTGCAATATACTACCAGTTCATACACAAGTCAAATATTTACTTTTAAAAAAACACTTTTTTAATGAAAAGTTAAGATTAGAAATGAAGCACCCCGTGTGTACGCGCGCCGTAAGCAGCCGCAAGCTGCAGACGAGCCAGGCAAACAATATGTACGGGGAACGAACAGCAAGTTACATTGTTCCACGACTTATAAACAAGCTACCCCCAGATTTCCGCGATAACTTAAATATAAAAAACATAAAAAAAAAACTTAAAATGTACTTTTTGTGTAATTTATAAAAAAAAAATTACTACTTGAAACAGCGTATATGCGTTTGCTCAGGTCCTAATTAGGCTGTAATGTTTCCTTTTTACAAACTATATTAATTATACTTAATGTAACGTCTACTCTGGTCGCGTCATCACAAACCTTAGTGGTTTTCTGTATGCGACTTTTGAGTATAGTTTTTTTGTAATGCTTTGTAATATGGTAAATAAATTAAAAAAATATATATAAAACATACCTATGTTATTAACATTCACATCGTTGGAAATGAAATAAAATATTGGATGAAAGACATTAGAAGAGAAAATCCAAACCCAAGCACTAAACATTTAGTGACTCTATTAAAAACAAGCAATACTTTGTTATATATCGTACCCTCAGGGAAAAAAAGCATAAGATGAAAATTGCAATTTTACAGGAGAGCAAAAATCTCTTAAAATACCTATAACTTTTTTTTTTGTAGACGAAAAATTATGTTTTATACATCCTTAAACAGATAAAAAAATACCACACAATATGAATATGTTCCTTTATTATTTAGTTTAATTATTTTATAAATATATGGAAATTAATATGTTGTGCTACTACTCGTTATTAACTCTGAATGCTCCGTTATAAATATTAGCGTTTATGTACATCTTCTCCTACAATTAACTTACTGTAATAAAAGTAAACCCTTTAACAATTCTATTGAATTTATTAGCAGTATACTTTAGGAGAGCGTAAATATTTTTACTGCATTATTTGCTTTTAATATTTGTTGTTTTTACACAATAACCTAAACTTACGATTTTATTTCATTTATATATTATATAGGTGAACTTTAGTAGACAATAATACCACTCTATTTAGTCTATGAAATGAATTAATTCTTTTTATATCTGGAGTTGGTACAAAATTAGTTAATATTATTGGTAAAGCAAAAAGGGCTCATTTATATTTTGTAACCAATTATATATTTTTTAAAAGTTACAAAAATATTTCAAAACAAAATATATTTGCATTTCTACAACCACAATCAAAATATTTAAGGCACACTATTATTTTAGTAATAAAACTACTTTAAAAGTATTACAATTTTAAAGTAGTTTTATTACTAAAATAAAAAACAAAAAAAAATACCACTTATAAAAACAAAAGTTTGCGCTTCTACAAATAGTATTAAATTGCTATTAAAGTTCTTATACCTATATACAAAATAACTATAAAAGTAACAGTGATTCGCCCTTCGACAATTCGAGCACCTAACTATCACAAAAATTCTAAATAGAAAATAGATGTTACCTGAGACTTTTTACTGGCAAAAAGGCATTCCATCTTAGTCCTCACGGGTGACAACGCATCTGCATCTTGAGTCTTTATTCAGGATAGATATAGATGTCTATGGGTCACAGTAACCACTTACCATCAGGTGGACTGTGTGCTCGCTTGTCACCCAATCTTTAAAAAAAAATACCAGCGTAAAATAGCAGCTTAACACCGCTGTGCATCGTATGGTGAGTGTAGAGAACCGGAGACCCTTTTTACTGGAAAAGAGGCATTCCATCTTAGTCCTCACGGATGACAACGCATCTGCATTTTGATTCGCAAACGAGGTTAATGTAGATGTCTATGGGCCACAGCAACCACTTACCATCAGGTGGACTGTGTGCTCGCTTGTCACCCTATCCTATAAAAAAAAAACATAAAATTGTAAAAAATTAGCCTGTGTCATTTCATTAACAATAAATTTATTTTGAATTTTCGCATTCATTATTATTTCATCGGGTGTATATAGTGTTTTATTTTTCATATTTTTTTTCTATACAGGCATGTATTGAATCGCCTTCATTTTGTGTGTCCTGTCTGTAAAAATCGGTGAATAATTTCTAAGTGTAATGTACGTGAAACAAATAGATACATCGAAAAATCATATCTATTTCTATTATGGCCAGAACGATTGTCGGAGTATAACGAAAGAGACTTTATGCTTCTACAAGCTTCCGCTTCAAAAAATTTATACAAGTAACTTGCGATTTCATTAGCACCTCTTTTTGCAATTTGTGTATACCATAAGAAAGAATAACCCTGTCGTGAAATTAAATTATATATAGTAAAATTATATGCTGGGTATTTTCTTCTATAATGAAAAATACCCCCATTTGATTGAAGCAGACTTAGTACCTTCTCCAAATCAAATACAATACGGTTTTTAATGTTGGGTCTGCTGAATCTTTTGCCTTCTTATTTCTCTAACAATATTCTTATTTTTAATATGACTTTCGTTCTGCTGCTGGAGTTGGAGTTTAGCATCTTCCGTTGCATTTTCATATTCACTGCATAATTTACAAATATCTTTTTTGGTCTGTATAACACTTTGCTCGGTGGCATTTGTTGTTCTATGAGGTCGGTTTGCGTGCTTACCCCGTAGGTCTGTTATTTGTTTACCATTATTATACTTATCAATGACCGTGTAAACAGTTATTTCTTTAATACCAAGCGTGTTTAAGAAAATTGTTTTACAAACTTTGAGTTTTGTTACGTGT